ACGTTTGTAAACAGAGCCTGAGGAGTCGCGGGAACTTAGGTTTGACATGCCTTGTGATTCCAGCGGTTTCTCCCCACTCTGCGCTGAGAGATTTCCAGTTTCATTCACCCTTGGCTCTTCCAAAGTAGGAGTAAGGATCACAAATTTTGACACACACACTCCTTAACCTTTCCGAATCTCCACTTCTGCCTGGCCCTTGGGCCCTTGAGCAGAAGCCCAGAGAGGACTAGGTCACATGACTCTAGCCAGTGTGCCAAGAAAAGGCCATTGCTGGTACTGAGTCCAGGGACCCACCTTGTTGGTGCTCCTTGACAATACACAGGCTCCAAGCACCTAGCCAGCCGCTCAAGGCCCCAGTCTCCTATCCAAGGGCCACCTGCCTCTCCACTTCCTACCAGCTGGAACCTCTGATCCAGCCATACTGGAAATTCTGACCCAGTTCTAGGGGGACTTACACCTGTTCCTTACACTGTAATGGACTGAGCTGACTGGAAGACTGGGGTGAACGTGGCTCGGCACACCTCCCTATAGACCTTGACAGGGCTGGCCTGTGAGAATCTTAGAAAGCTATCTGTTCCCCAGGGCCTCAGTTTCCCAGATTAAGGGAGTAGCCCCAGGACAGACCCAAGGGACAGAGAGAGGAAGCTGAGGAGTGGATCCTGGGACCATAACCACAGTTGCACATTCTGCTGCGTATACACACATGAACAGGGCTGTGTCTGTCTGGTACTCATGTGGGCTGTGACCTTAGGCTCATTTCTGAGAGTCTGTATCTTGCTTGTTGAAGTGATGGGATGGCTGCTTATATGCACATGTGTGTGAGTGTGCATGTGAGTGAGTGTATATGTGTGTGTGTGTGTGTGTGTGTGTGTGTGTGTGTGTAGCCATCTTTACATGTTCCAGGCTCTGTGAGCAGCCAGGGAAGTTTCAAATCACTGTTGCATTCCATCAGCCTTAAGCAGGAGACTCTGGCACCTGCTAAAGCATGTATAAAGCTTGGGGATATTATACTAAGTGAAATAGGCCAGTCATAAAAGGACAAATATATGACTCCATTTAAGTGAGATTCCTGGACTGCTTAGAGCCATTGGGACAAAGGGTAGAAGGTGGGGGCTGGGGACTGTGGGAGGAGGCTGAGGAGTTCGTTTAATGGATATAGCATTTCAGCTGGGGAAAAGAACATTCTGGAGACGGATGGTAGTGAAGATCACACATCAGCGTGAAGGTCCTCAATGCCACTGGACATTATGCCTAAAAGTGGTGAACTTAGGTAAGTTTTACTGTAATGAAATAATCAGGCTGGAGATGTAGCCCAGTTTGTAGAGTGCTTGCCTCTCATCCCCAGAGTCCTTGGATTCAATCCCAGCAATGTATAAACCAGAAGTAGTAGTTCACACCTGTAATCCCAGCACTCTCATAGAATCAGGAGAATTAGAAGTTTAAGGTTATCCTCAGCTATGTGTTGAGTACAAGGCAAGCCTGGGCTATGTGTAACCCTGTCTCAAAAACAAACACAAACAACAGTAAAGTTTGTGCTGAGCAGCCCAGAGTCAGAAAGGCCCTGAAGTCTCATTGCCTTGGTTTGCCTGGGAAGTACAAGCCCTGCAGGAGAATGGACTGGCTCAAAGTCACATGTAAGTGGGGTCCGGAGAATGGACTGGCTCAAAGTCACATGTAAGTGCGGTCCACAGAGCCCCAAACAGTCTTCCCGCCATCACCCACTCACATTCCCAGAGAGCCAGGGCCTAGGCAGCTTCCTCTGGGCCCCCAGTCTCCCCTCTCCCTGCCCTCTCTCTGTAGGCTGTCCCTCCTTCATCTCTAGGGGATGCCTTTCTAGGGTTATGCTTTTGCAGTCCCCATTGCTGGATAAGACCCAGGGTACCAGCAAACCTAGATTAGCCCAGAAGCCACACCCTCCCATCCCCCCAGTCCCTGGCTGCCTTGGGTCAGTGACCCCCTAGAGTAGATTCTGTAGGTCCGTGGTCTCTAAACAAAATCTTCTCAGAGGACCCTACCAGAATGCCTTGGTAGTAACTGGAGGGGCCATGATCACTTTCAGCTTTATTTTATTTTAAAATTATTTTATTTGGGGGAAGGGACTTCCTTGTGATGTTAAGTTTCTTACTGAGTTTTCTGTGCAAGAACCTGTGTATAAAATTTGTATTGTATGTGAATTTATAGGATGTTGAATTTTATATGTAAGATGACCTATAAAGATGCACAGATCATTAAGACAAATTGTGTAATTCCGTATTGCTTCTAACCCCAAATTACAGTGCTCTGTGTACTAATGCTTCCAGCTTCCACTTCCTAGTTTATGTATTGAGCCTTTTCTTTGATGCTGTTCCTTCAGACATAGAAATTATCATTCACAGTGCTGTTTCCTACTCCCTACATCCATCTTTCTTTCTTTCTTTCTTTCCTTTCTTTCTTCTTTCTTTCTTCCTTTCTTTCTTCTTTTTTTTTTTTTTTTTGGTCTTTTTGAAAAAGGGTCTCCCTGTAGCCCTTTTTGGTCTTTTTGAGACAGGGTCTCCCTGTAGCCCCAGCTGGCCTGGAACTTGCTATGTAGCCTCAGTCTCACAGAGATCCACCTACTTCTGCCTCCCAAGTGTTGGGATTAAAGGTGCCACTACACCCAGCTCCTAATTCCGTCTTCATTCATGTTTGAACTTGTGTATCCAATTTTTATTATGGGAGATGAAAGTTATATCTCAAATTCACCAACCTCTATTATGTGTGTCTTCCTACTTACCCTCCAATGTAATAAAATTTCTTATAATATTTTGGTAAAAATTACTTTATTGTTATTTACTTATTTATGTATGAGCATGGGTATTAACACCCATATGGGTGCAGAGGCCCTATAAAGACATTGGTCACACTCTATCCCATTCCCGGAGACAACAATCAGTCATTGAACCTGGAACTAGGCTAACAGCCAGCACTCTTGAACAATCCTCCTACCTCTGCCCCCCACAGTGCTGGAGTTACAGGCCCCTGTCATGCCTGGATTTATAGCTGGATGCTAGGGATTTGAACTCAGGTCCTCATATTTGAACAAGTACTGTTATCCATTGAGCCAACTTCCCAGCCTTTTATTTTTAATAGACACCTAATAAGGGCACATATTCCTGAGACCAGTTGGCTATTTCAACACATGTATGTATACGACTTTCAATGATCAGGGTAATTAGCACAGTGATACAGAAGGATGGCTATAGTCAACTTTGTCATGTATGTTCCAACCTACGTAAGCTAATAGACTCTTTATCAAGAGGACAATAGGAGGTCCCTGTTCTCTGTCAGACTTCTGCAAAAGTATTTCCCTAAGCATCTTGGGAGGGCCCTCAGTCCGCTTTCCCAGGCCAGTGGGGATAATACCATCCAGTCATTGTCTCTGCACTCTTTTCTGACTGGCCTTCCACAGGGAGGAGCCTTTGAAATTGTGGGGTGGCTCATGTCTTTAATCCCAGCAGTCAGGAGGCAGAGGCAGGTAGATCTCTTCCAGGTCAGCTGGGGTTACAGGGAAGCCCTGTCTCTAAATAAATAAATAATCCATTGACCAGCTGTGACCAGTTAATGGGCTGGATGCAGGGTCACAAGGGAACAATGAATGTTCCAAGTACAATAGCAAACCATAGTCAAGACAGGAAGAATGAGAGAGCCCGCAGCCTTTCTCTTTAAATGTCTTGTCTTTTCCTTTACATCTCTTTTCTTCCAACCCCTGCCTCACCCCTACCCCAGTTAGTATAGAAAGACACAGGAGTGTCAACATTTTTTTGTTTTGGTTTTTTTTGGGGGGTTCTTTTTGAGACAGGGTCTCCCTATAGTCCCAACTGACCTGGAACTTGCTATGTAGACCAGGCTGGCCTTGAACTCACAGAGATCCTCCTGCCTCTGCCTCCTGAGTGCTGGGATTAAAGGTGTGCGCCACCTCACCCGGCACTGAGTTTCAGTCTTTGAACTTAAAGAAAATTATGTTTTCTGTTGGGAATGTTGGTAGAGTGTTTGCCTAGCATACATAAAGCCTTGGGTTCAACCCTTAGCACCATGCTTGAACCAGGTGTGGCAGTACATGTCTGTAATTCCAGCATTTAGGAGGTGGAGGCAGGAGAATCAGAAGTTTAAGGTTTAACTCTCTTCAGTGATATAAGAACTTTGGGGAGTTCAAAAAAAAAAAAAAAAAAAAAAAAAAAAAAAAAAAGGGACCTGGGCATGGTGGTACACACCTTTAATCCAAGCACTCAGAGGAAGTGGCAGGTGGATACATCTGTGGATACATCTGTGAGACTGAGGCCAGCCTGGTCTACATAGCGAGTTGCAGGCCAGCTGGGGCTACAGGGAGACCTTGTCTCAAAAAGACGAAAGGAAGGAAGGAAGGAAGGAGGGAGGGAGGGAGGGAGGGAGGGAGGGAGAGAGGAAGGAAGGAAGGAAAGAATGAAGGCAATCAAGTAAGTAGTTTAGTTGTTCAAGTATCTTCCTTGCACGCTCCCCAAGAACACAATGTATATGGCCCTCCATTGACCCACCCAGGTGGCCCAGGGGTCCCAATTACAAGTGTCCACACACACATTTTGCCCACTATGTTTATAAAAGGTGGATAAATCTAACATTTTTGAGCCAAATCTTATTTTACATTCAGTAGAAAAGACTATGACCCCCAGAAAGCTTTTCAGAAGAGCTGAACTCTTTTATGAAAGAATTCCATCTTCCTATGGGTCTTTTAGGCACATTTGAAGAGCCCCTGTGGTGGGCAAAGCAGATGAGACAAGTGAGGGATGTTAAATAAGGCGCCCGAGGCCTGGGGAGGACTAAGAGGGGCTTATGGGTAACTCTGGCCTTCCCAGTCCTATGTCTGTGACTGACCAACATCTAGCTGTCTTTCTGTCCATCTGTCTGCTCTGCCTATCCATCAACAGCTCTCTCACCCTATCTCTGCCGGCTGTCTGGGTGCTACACCAGCTGTCTGTCTGTCCACCTGACTGTCTTTTCTTCTTCAGGATGCTTTCCACGCCTTCCACCAGGATCTCCAGTATGTGCGCAAGTTCCCAAAGCCCCTGCTGATTGGAGAGCTGGCCCCAGAAGAGCCCAGTCAGGACGGAGCTCAGAATGTGAGGGGGACAGCTGGAGGGCTTGGGGACATTGCTCATTCCCAGTAGCAACCTCTGGTTACTCCTGGGGGATACAGGGTCAGGGCTGGGTCTGCACCCGTTCCTGGGCCACAGTAAAAGGTGAAGCCGTAGTGATGTCCTGTAGAACTAAGCCTCCAGATCTGACTTGTCTGGACACTTGCTGTGGGTTCCCAGGTTAGCCCTGTTCCTGTTCTGGGCCCAATAACCCCCATCTACAATGAGGATGTTTTTGAGCCCTAAGGGGTTTCCTCTACTGGCTCTGGTTTTCTCTGCTTCTTATCCACCTCACACCTTTTGAGCACGGGAGGGGGCTTGGCCGCTGGCTAGTTGCCCAGCTCACACACCCTTCCTGGTACTCTTGTTCCTCCATCCATCGCCCTTGCCAACACCTCCTGGACCCAGCAGTGGGAGGAATGACTGTGGCTTGAGGAGGGATTAGAAATTTCTGGGGACCATTATAAAATATTAACTATATTTAGCATTAAATGCTTTATTAAAATCACTTCACATAATACTATTATCCCATATTTTGTTCTTTGAAATTATTTTATTATTAGTTGTTGTAAATTAACCATCTGCTCAGAGAAGAAAGGATAAGGTTTCAAGGTATAATGTTAGTTTCTTTTTTTAAAGTTTATTTATTTATTTTTATTTTATGTGTATGAGTGTTATAGCTACATCTGTGTAAGTGTACCAGTGCCATACAGTTCCAGTGGAGGACAGAAGAGGGATTCAGATTCCCTGGAACTGGAGTTATGGATGGATGGTTGTTAGATGCCATATGGAGAACAGCCAGTTCTTAACCCTTAAGCCATCTTTCCAGCCCCAGATATTAATTTCTTAATAAGAAAATATGTAGGATATACATAATATGAATACTGTGGTCTAAAGATGTCCCCACATTTATATTATTATATTAGAAATGACAGGAGAAAGCCTCAGCAATAGGATGAATGAAATGGAAAACAGAGTATCAAGACTGGAAGATAAAGTGGATAAACTAGACCACTCAAGCAAAGTTTATGAAAAATTTAAGAAATCACAAGAATGGAATATGCAGGAATTGTGTGACACCATAAAAGACAAAATTTACGACTCATAGGCATACAGGAAGAAGAATCCCAAGATAATGGCATGGACCAGATCTTCAACAGAATCAAGAAAGATATTCCCATACAAATACAAGAAGCATATAGAACACCAAGAAGACAGGACCAGAAAAAAATTCTCCACAGCTCATCATAGTAAAAACACTAAATGTACAAAACAAAGAGACAATACTGAAAGCTGCAAAAGAGAAACAA